AAGACTTCCAACACTGTGCCCCTCACCCCGTAATGTCCAAGAACTTCAAGCAGTCCCGCATGCGGGACTGTGTCAAAAGCCTTCGCGAGGTCAATAAATACCCCTATACATTTTTTATTGTCATCTAAATAATTTTTAATATTGTTTATTGAGTGAAACATTGCGTCATCTGTACTGCTTCCTTTTTGGAACCCAAACTGATTACTATTCAGAATGTTCATACTCTCGAGATACTCCTGTAATCTGCTTTTTAAACATTTTTCCAATAATTTGGCAAAAGTACTAATAATGCTGATAGGCCTATAGTTAGATATGTCAATTTTGCTGCCAGATTTATAAATGGGTATAACTATAGATTTTTTTAAATCATCAGGGATATTTCCCGTTGTGAAAATTAAATTAAAAACATGAATCAACGGATCAAGAATATGCATATGACACATTTTAACCAACTTAGAAGTGATACTATCAAAACCTGGGGCACTGCTATTTTTTAAGCTACCAACAAGCATTGTCAGTTCATGTCTGCCCAGAGGTTTCAGGAACATTGAGTTTTTCAGGTTAGGATAGTTGTTTCCTACAGGCCCGTCATTCTTTATACGTTGAGCCATCTCAACACCAACCCTAATGTAATAGTTGTTACAGAAGTTAGCCATTTCAAAATCTGAGGAAAAGGGATTACCGGCATGATCATTAACATTGATGACACCAGTACTGGTGTTACTATTTGTCGCTTCATTGATTATGTTGTATAGTTTTTTCATATTGTTCATATTATTAGATAGTTTTTGAGAGTAATAATCATTTTTTGCAGTTTCTATCGTTTTATTCAACAGATTTCTGTAGGTTCTATAATTCTCGAAAAGTACAATATTATTTTTATTTCTTAAAGCAAGTCTTTTCAATTTGTCTCTTTTTTTCATAGAAATAATTATACCATTACTAATCCACGGTTTCAATTTCTTATACTCCTTCACTTTAATAATTTTTTGAGACTTACATGCATTGTATGTAGCCATAAAAATATCACTGAAAGCTGTCCAAGCTTTAGTGGAATCATCAATGAGTAGAACGGAATCCCATTTTACCTCACTTATCAGCTTCAAAAACTTATCTTGATCAAACTGATTAATAACTTTTTCAATAACTTTATTGCATGCAATTGAGTCTTGTCTTGCAATCTGTATATAAATAGGAAAATGATCAGTAATGTTATGATTAATTACAGCAGGAATGAAGAAAAAGTTGGAATTTAAGTTTTGTCTTACAAAGATATGGTCTATACAACTTTCAGAAGTAGGTGTTACCCTAGTATAAGTATTTATATGTGACTGAAACCCAACAGACATCAACATTGATTGATTACATATAGGTTAGTAATTGATGAATGAAGATGATTCCAAGACACCGTGGATCCCAACTCATTATCCAACGGCACTCGACCAATCACAGATTCAGAATTTCCAGGATCCACAGCAACTGAATAGGTTAGACTAATGAAAAACCAGCAAGTCTACCAAACAATTTTCTCAAGAAGGCTCTGCTTCATTTTACGGGTCACGTCACGGCTTGACTTTCGCGAATGTCAGATTGACTTATAGAGTCTTTCAAGTTTTAACTTTGATATCTGGAGGATATAATGGAGGCTTGCCGTTCCATGGAAATGTACTCTATGAATATTGAAGATATTCAAGATCTTGGATGTGCATGGATGATAACTATATTCCTGAGACCAAAACAAAAATTGTAAGGAGGTTCACTGTAACCGGAAAATGTTATCAATTTTGTAAAAAGTACATTGATATACGAGCAGCAAATGTTGTGATTTCCAATTTTTTCATGAATTACCAAGAAGGAAAATGTACTCTTTAGAAAATTGGAATTAATAAGTTTGCAGCAATGGGAAAACAAATAGTTACATTTTGGAAGCTACCAAATCCCGAGATGTATACCGAGCATTGATTTATTGCTTGTCAATGCAGGTGGAGGTATAACAGCATCGAAAAGACATGATGGCTGGAAGAGCACATCGGTGGCAGAGTGGCTGGAAGAGCACATCGGTGGCAGAAATATTTCTAGAAGATTCCATGTTGAATAAAAAAAAACGGCAGATTCGAATTCTTCAATGAATCGAATAATGTTCATCATCATCAAATAACAGTTCCTTCACACAAAAAGCATCAACTACAATATGAATAAAAATATCAGTGTTGATCTAAATGCAACACCGAAATTAAATTTCACGAATTGTGAGAATATCACTAAAAATGTAGTCATTCAGTACGGGAAACATAATTTACTGACCTAATAATTGTTGTAATGTTTCATCATTGAGTTCGTTGAATATTAAAGATTCCTGTCAATTGTATAATAATATCATTAAAATTCATACATCAAGTATATTATTTTCATAAATAATAATTAGATTACATTAAATTTCTGACTATCGTATAGTCGTAGAGAAAGTATAGTCTTCTACTCGCGTATAATAGCTATTATTCTCAGCACATTGAAATCTAATGATTTTTCTGTTCCAGGTAGTTTTACTGCTGTCGCTATCAGGCAGCCATACTTTTAATTGCAAGGTTCATGGCATGAAACCACCCTCACTAACAATAATACAATTGTCAGACTGTCACGGAAATATTATTTGACAAACCTACTTGGGGTTACTCAGCGCCTTCTTGTTGTTATTCGATATTTTGCTGATTTCCCCCCTCTATAAGCATTTGTCAGATATCTTGCATCCAATTAGTATGTTCAATCATTCCCAGTTGGGCGAATACATGTACAGGACGACAATCTCGACGACACGACAATCACGAATACTTCCTCTCTTCAATCCAATTCATTATTTAGACTCTGAATCGGAATACAAATAACGAATGAATACATTCTCGAACAAATGAAAAAATCTTCAGTGTCTCTTTGAATGCTTCCGCAGATCGTAAACTGATGGGATGCTGAAGGTTAGTTCATTCATTCATTCACATTCCACAGTCCCTCCATTTTGGTCAAATGGAACTTTGAAATTGTCAAATTGGGTAGGTAAATCAATTGATCTATTGAATTTCGCAGATTATTGTTTCGAAATTCTCTTTAAAAATGAATGCTGTATATATACCAAACACCATCAGGGTGAAAACTATAGAGTGGAAAATTGGATTCCAGTAAGAATTCCACCTTTTTTATGACAACAATCCTGGAAAATACAACCACAGCAAGAAGGTCATGCAACTATCTTCATGAGATTAGCAACGTTCTATATGATTATAAAATTGCCCTAATTCTTTCATTGGATGCACTCACTGGCGGTAGCAAAGTCATATACCTACTACAGAAACATCGTCCGATAGCAATATACAGATTCATTCGCTATTAACAGAAAGGTTCTATATATGATAATGGCAGGTGGGTTATAATCAGTAACGTCGACTCCATATTCACAGGTGAGAATCTGCTTGCCTCCTATGCTATTAGTGTTTCTTGCTGAAATAATTTGATTTCTAACTATGGTTAATAGAAATTGTCTTCAGTGTGGATCAAAAACTACCCACACCCAAGAAACAAAAAAAATAGTTGATCTTGGAGCCAAATGGATCCGTCTACTCTCCTTAACAAGTAGTGATATGTTACACCCCGCAGAACATTGGGTTTGAATGACAAGAGGGTGTAAAAACGGGAAATTTCGTTATTTCGCAGTTCTTCTCCTATATCTCGAAAACTATGACGTTAAACAAAAATTTCATACGTAATGAAATGGATTTTACATCCCCATTATCAACCTCAGAAAAACTTCATAAGTTTGGAATATCATACATTTGTTGGCAATTCTTTCAACAAATAACATCGATTCATTTCTGATGAAAATACCAACACCCTCTGTGTAATATAAGCGTGTGTGGACGGTTTGTAGAAGTTTTCAGCCTGACTTGCTTCGTCAGGTTGTTATTTTGGGTTTGCATTATTTGCATCAATGAACATCCGATTTAATATAAGGGTCTTCCCACAGAATTTCATTTATCGAATTATACCATCCCGATATGAACCAAATACTAATTAAAATTTGATGGAACTTTGAAGTTATGGAATCCAGGAGTGATTTGGTTGGTTTCGACTTGAATCGACATATTGCGTCTTTTGATATCAAGGCCTTGCATGATTTCCTGATTTCCGAGTAGTTTTATATAGCAGTTCACACAGGCTGTTTCGTCTAAATCGCACATTCCACGTATCTGTAGTTCTATGACACTACTATACCGGAAGTGGACATCAACTTCAATATTTCAAATAACAGCCATTTTTTTGCTACCTCGGATTCTTGATAGAGTGTTGAGATGATCTTCATTAGCTTTCTCTATAACTAAGTCTAGTTGTTTTCGATATATGCGGGATTCTTCAAATTTCATTCTGGTTTCCACCTTCCTTTTTGAAAATCCGTGACTGTGACATTTTTCAATTTATCAAAATCTATTTTCAGCATCAGTAGGATGAAGAATTGTTCCTATTCATTTTTCTTTGATTCGGAAAATAGTATTAAAAGTCTGTCAAATTTGGGAGAATATTTGAGGAACTCCATGTAGCCATAACTTTTTTTCAAATGGAATGCTAGTATCGTCCTTCTACTATAAATGAAGGAAAATTGAACGCCATATCGATCTGTATTGATGTTTATTATATCTACTATGCATAGTTCTGATAAATTCATTGGATTTTTCGTGAATCCTCAGAGAGGAAGGTGAAATAAAAAAGTGTGGCATTTTTGAAACTCTAGGTATGACATTTTATATAAAAAATACTCGGAAATCAGAAGAATATAATAAAGATAACACATAACATTTTCAAATTCTAACGAATATGGTGGACAGAAATTTTGGTGGAACTTGGGTGGAACCAGTTCTGTGCGATTTCTGATAGTAATATTCTCCTGAATTCTCCATTCACTATATTCTCGATCATCTATTGAATATTTTAGATTCTCAAAAACCAGTAATACTCACTCCAAGCTTGCTAGTTTCAAAGACACTGCATATACCAGAACATCCATAGAAGAATTCTTCTGTTACGATGCTACTATCGAAAACACCAAACCCCATACCACCTGTTGAGAAATACATTCTATAATAATCTTCTTCTGAGGTGAAACCACGTATAGTTGAGGCGAGATATGAGGTGACATTATAGGTTCAAGCTTGATGAACTACACTGAGGAAAAAGCACTCATTAAATTTTCTTGTTATGTCTGAGTTAATGACTGTAATTCAATTTCTAATCATATTCACTCATGTTATGTATGAAAATAGCACCAAGGACTAATTACCATAACTAGAGACGTTTTATTGGGAGTACTTTAATTAACTTCATTGGACTTCTTGTAATGACAATTAATGTCTAAACCTATGATAATTAACGCAGACGAGTGAATTTCAATCATATCACCATTACTTGTTATCGAATTACCATCATAGGAAAATTTAATGACGATCGTTGACGAATGTCCTCGAGTACATACGACCAAGAATTTTTCCGAAACATTGACACACCTCCTCGTCAGTTATAAGACTTAGGTCGGCCTAGTCGGTCGGTAAACTCGTGCTTCGTGCATTTCCTTTGTTAAATGCCGTTGATAGTTATGATTCTGAGTTGTGATCGAGTGAGGTTTTGAAAAACTGATGGTTAGAAGTGTGCAAAAACTGGGATTGACATTTAGGAGTGATATTTTGATTTGGAATGTTGGAGTTATTTGATTTTCAACCACTTATCTCAACGTAAGGTATATTAAATTTTTGTTGTTCATTATTAAACTTGTTTTTTCTGAAGTTCAATTTTCTCATTGCCTACCATCTACAGAGTTTAGTTCAAGGAGTAATTTTAACATTAATGTTTGAAAAATGTCACTATTTCAATAATATTCATTTCCGATAATTTTTTTCCTCATGATGAACTTTCCACTGAATATAAGCTTCGGAAATTGAATGTGCCAAATTGATTTCTTCTTTTCTGGACAATGATTTGGTAAAAAAATATTAGATCATCAACTTGAATCAATTAGAGTAATTAATAATTCCAATGAAGAGGTTTTATGCCAAAAGATCTTTTTTTCTATTCATTTTATGTAATCATTTGATGAATAATTATTTGATTATCGATCTTACCTATACTTACCCAGCGTATAGGCAAAGATAAATTGGTGCAACAAAAATATAAATGCTGTCATGAAGTTGGAGAAGAACTGCCCTGAACTCTGTGGACGGTAGGAAATGAGTAAATTCAACTTTAGGAAAAACCAAGTTTAATAATGAACAGAAAAAAATCAGATATGCCTTACGTTAAGATAAGTGGTTGACAATTGAATAACTCCAACAATTCAAATCAAAATATCACTCCTAAATGTCTCGGTCGATCCCAGTTTTTGCACACTTCTATATCCATCAGTTTTTCAAAACCTCACTCGATCACAACTCAGAATCATAACTTTCAACCATAGAGAATTACATCCACATAAAAAACTTTCGAAATTCAATTCAATTGAAAGTTCTCTAATGGGTGAAAAAAAGTGTATTCTCAATATATTATTTTCTCTACTTCGTTTGCAAGAGTATTTCGAAAGTTTTTTTATGTGGATGTAATTCTCACTGACATAGCTCTAAAAATGAGAAGTGCTCAATAGATTTTTTCTATTCTGGAAAATTATTTGGAAAAACATATTCGATTATCAACTTGAAATAACTAGAGTCATTAATTATTTCGATACAGAGGTTTAATGCCTGTTATAGGTCCCGGATAATAACAGCGATTATACTCTTTAATCATAGTAATACACATTGATGATTGACCGTAATTCGTTCACGGTGTAGCCTTCATGTCATGCTTCATCAAATTATCTAGTAACTGTTATTGGGTCGTCATAGCAAAATGAATTGAATAGCCTTTATAAGACAGCTAGGCTGTCCCCTATTTAATTCAATTTTTTTATGAAGGATATTCAATTTTTAATAACCGCTATTCGACTTTTTTCTCAGTGTATACTTTGAAGTTGGTGTTTCAGTAAAAATCCCTATCATCAAATTCAAGAAGCAACATTCACATTTTGAAATCAATATAAAAGGACAATGATAGTGAAAAATGAGCAGAAAACAACTATTTTCTTGAGTGATGCCAAGCAAATAAACATTGAATCGCAATCAAACTAAATCTATGCATTGATGCACTAATTAGTGCAAACGGTTCTTTACCAAATGGCCCATAAATCTTGATCAAACTGTACCAGATACACTATATAGGGGAAAAAATGGAGCATTACTGAAAATGATAAAATAGTACGATATGGGGCTGCAACTGATTTTGATTTCCTGCAAACAACTTATAACAAATGGAAAGCATTATTCATTCATTCATGAGATTTTAGCGGTGACTAATTGTCCTCAACTATAAGTAATACTATTCTATCAGTCACAATCATAGGATACTTAGTTAGGGTTAGTACTAATATTTATTGTAGCAGATTGATAGTATCTGTATCAAACGAATAAATGAGTTGTTTCAACAAATAAAGTAGTTGTAATCATGAATAGTTTTTGTTGCAATAAATAATTAATGAGTTGAAAATATACAGGTTCTCTCTTCTCTAACTCATTATGCAGCCCTTATTATCAGACAAAGGAAGAAAATATTTCAAACAAAGATATATGGTTCCACTCATGATATTTCTTGAAGTCAACAGGAAAATCAAATTTGAATCGGATAATGACAAAAAATATAATAACTTCAATTCATCAACAGAAACACCTCCTTTTTATATGCTGAAATATATAATATTTCACTGATGATTTCGAAAAATAAGACTAAGGTAAACCATCCACATTTTATCTGATTTTTTTTCTTCGAACTCTATAGTAATGAAAGGAGTCTAGTTAGCGGTAAAAGAATAATCAATCACCTTGTTAGTTGATGAAAAGGATATTTCATTAAAAAAAATGTGGAGTACAACTACCTACTCCGTTCTTTTTTTCCAGATCCTCAAAACTAAGAATATAATTCGCATAAATTGATTAGAGAAGAAATGTATATTTTTATATCAACTATAATTTTTTTGTACGTGTCACACTTCCACGATAAACGATAGTCAGTGGCCAGTCTCTGGAAATATCTTCTAATTCTTGAGTCGGTATCACTCACTATAACACACATTGATTGACCGATTGACTCTCAAAACATGCATGAAAAATAGAGATGTCGACAAAACGAAGGATGATTATTACGTGGATATACAATTTACATTTGTTTCTGATGATCTGAAATTTATAGGTAGAAATCGAAATCTCCATCAAAACGCTCAGGAACGATGACCTTGCAACTTCGTCAGATCGAAGTAAAGTGGCGGTAAAAACGATATAAATGGAGATGTTTGCTCTGATCGGTCTCGGAATGTCACGAGAGTAGTTAAGCTAAGAGACCATGACTACCAGCATAGGGAAATAAACGCTTTAATCTTAACTGGAACGCGGCCTGTGTTCTAGCAGGGAAGAGGGGTAGCGCTGGCGCGAGCTTATCGAAACCACAACAATAACACTTCAATGACAATAACAAGATTGAATTTTCATATACAGAGCTGTAATATGAGTTTTAGGTGTAAATAGTTGTTCGATTTATTCCAAGGTGGACGGTGAAAGGGTGTTCTTTTCTATGATTTCGATTCCTAAGTAGTTTTGAAATCGACATTATCTACGACTATGTGTTGGCCCTCAAAGCGTAGATTCTTATGTCCAAGTGTCCATCTGCCGTCAACATATTTCGGTCCATAAGCATTATCATAATCTGTACAGTGATATTTATCCAATGCTTGCTCTGATGAATGTGGTTCAGACTCCATGATGTGAACGCTATGGTGTCTGATATACAGCTGAAGACTTTTGAATACATCTGAATACTCTTGAATACCTCTGAAGACATCTGAATACCTCTGAAGGCGTGATCTGAAGACCTCTGAATACCTCTGAAGACATCTGAATACCTCTGAAGGCGTGATCTGAAGACCTCTGAATACCTTTGAAGACATCTGAAGGCGTGATCTGAAGACCTCCGAATACCTCTGAATACTTCTATAGGCGTGATCTGAAGACTTCTGAATCCATTAACTGCATGCCATCCGCTAATCAGCTAGGATATTCGAATTGGTGGCGTCCACTCTATGGGCATTCCTCATATGGTGGTATAGGTTAGTTTCATTCAAGAATTTCCCACATTTCTCACACACAATGCTTGGTGTCGATTATAGCGAAATTCTCGCTCTTTAAAACTTTTCCACGTTCTATTGATATTGAAAGCAATCCACTCTCCAGTATTGAGACACTCTGTTATAAATCTGAAATAGCTGTGCTCTTAGAGTTCCTGAAATCTCCTGCTACCACTCTGCTAAAATTCACCGAACAAGAATTGCACTATATTCCAGTAGAGTGTATCATTGAACATGCAGATCCCTGTGACCTATTAATGATATGGCACAAACTTCCCAAAGAATATCGCTGCAACTTTAACCTCCAAATCAGGCTGCCATGCTTCGTTCATTATAATCGTCCCGATTGGACCACACACTGGGATGGACCGCCATCTTCTCAAGAGGCATGTCATTTTTGTAGAAAAGGATTACTCAAATGAATAGTTTATTTATCTTCGTTTTCGTATTCTTTCACCCCCATGGGCCGCCCTGTATATATTTTTTTCAATCTTCATCAACTCAAACACCCTGTATATATTTCTTTCAACTCAAACACTCCTTCCATGCTAAAACATGGGACCGCGAACCGTGGGACACTCTGTATATATTTTTTTTTCAATTTTCAATCAACTCAAACGCCCTGTATATGAAAATTCAATCTTGTTATTGTCATTAAAGTGTTATTGTTGTGGTTTCGATGAGCTCGCGCTAGCGCTACCCCTCTTCCCCGCTAGAACACAGGCCGCGTTCCAGTTAAGATTAAAGCGTGTATTTCCCTATGCTGGTAGTCATGGTCTCTTAGCTTAACTACTCACGAGTCAGTCCGAATATCGGAGCTTAACTATATAACTTATAGTAATGGCTAATACATTTTTGCTGTGAATAATGATAAAAAACTCCTGATGAATGTCGTATCAGTTATGACAAATAGATAGCTGTCCAAAGTAACCTTAGAATAAGAGTTCATTACCCTAGCAAGAAACTTCAATTAACCGAATGGACAGCATTGTGATAATTTTGTCGTGAATTATATTTCCAATATTTCCATTCATGATATTTCATGATATGAAATAGACACGGTTTTTATAGGAAATAGGGATGTTTCGTTGTTGTTGATGATAATCTTAATATTTTGAAGTATCGGTACTAAAGAAATATCAACTGAGCGATTTAGTATACATGTTTCATCAGGGTACAGCTGATGCAAGCAACATGTCGTAGTTGGATGGTGTTAGCGCTGGTATTGCAGAGGTGACTTGAGTGGTTTATCAAAGTTTATTGAAACGGCTCGATGCGCACGTGCACATACTTCAAGAGAAACTTCAAACCCGCCTGAACTGCGAGGTGCGGGAGATACTCCAATTGACTTCGGATAGACCATACTTTCAACGACCATGTGCGATATGATCATTGCATCTGACTGTACGTTTGACCAGCTGCAGGCTGGTCTCGAAGTATTAGCCCCCATGAGCCCAGCACAGTCACTAGAAGTCAGAAGATGTTGAAGTACTACCTGACACAAGGAGTACCCAATTGAACAGTTATCTGCGAAGATACGATGGCCAAAGGCAACATTGATACAGTTGCATCATAACTGCTCCACATATGAAACGTGAAACCAAAAATGCCCTTACTTGTGAGGAACGATAATAACCTTATGATTTCTCCTACTATATCAATCTTATCAGATGAAGAAACCTGGACATAACTCCTGCTACAGCTGAGCTTCTCCACCGACCATGGTCGCTTAATTATTTTTGTAAGATCAGCACTTATATAAGCCAACATGGTTGTTGCAGTGAACTGTGTTATAGAGCAACTTCGAACGAAATTTTGATAACGTTTTGATTTCAACAGGTTCTGCCTCTTTTTACTGACTAACGTATCGTAATAAGAATCGGTCGTTGAATAACTTCTCCTGCAGTATTTGTTTTTTCTTCACTCGATCCTCACAGTATTGGTAGGGAATCCTGTTTCAATGATAGTGAATTTTTGTGAAATGCCGGTCATCGTATCTGCATTTCCCTATTCGTTCATTTACATCATTGACAGGTAGCAGACAATCACTTTATTATTATATGAATCCTCTGATAAAAGAGATTTTGATAATTTTTTCAGGTGTGTTGTTTTGATACTGCTCTACCCTTACCCTTGACCTCCCTACCAGTAAGTGATATGAAAAATCGGAAAAAAGAGGTCAATTTCCTTCTCTAGGGTGACACTTCGATGAATATTCGCAGCACTCATGGTTCAACCTGCCAGCAGTAGCCATAACATTTTTTTTTAAATGGAAAGCTAATATTTTCCTTTTCTCCAATCGGAGGGGAAATTATCACTGCATCGATCTGTAATAATGTTTCCTATAAGTACCTATATCTGTTAGTTTTCAAATTATGATGATATCTTCTAGATATATTGAGGGAAAATCATCACTATCCTCAAAGCAGCAAGTATATACGAATACTTTTTTTGGGCATATTTGCATGGTCGGTTAATTATTGTGAGATCAGCACCTATATTAGCCGATATATGATTGTTGCAGTGAGCTTTATACAATGGCCGCTATGAGCTTCTTCTTTTGCCAGATCCATGAATGGAGCAACTTCGAACAAAATTTTGACTAAGTATCGATTTCAACAGGTACTGACCTACATTTCTGATTAACGTATCGTGAAAAAAATCGGTCGTGAATAAGTTCTCCTGAGGTGAAGACATCGCATTTTTTACATGTCTCCACAGTATTGGTAGGGAAGCCTACTCCAATGATAGTGAGTTTTCGTGAAATGCCAGTCTTCGTATCTGGATTTCCAAATTTGATCATTCACAACATTGACAGGTATCAGACACTTACTTTATCATCAAAATTTCCTGGAAATTTGAAATATCTTGATGAGTTCTTCACATGTCGTGTTCTTCTAATACTGCCTTATCCTCACCCTTAATCTCTCTTTCGGTGAATAATCAAAAAGACAGATCAATTCCATTTCCTAGAAGGACACTCCAATGTTTATTTTAAGCACTCATCCTAGATGGGGTAGATGTTACCCATGAAATCTCAGATGAAAAGGAGAGTCAAGTGTAACATCATATTGAAGGCAATTCAATTCTCTTGCCAAAGGTGATTCAGTTGAGTATTCTTTAGTGAGCAGTTCCACAAGAATGCCATTCTGAACTCACAAGAGATATCGGTTATGGTCTGCACTGAAATGCATATGGGTTTGAGATTAGTATTTTGACGAAAATTATTGCATCGACTTTTTGTTCAGAAGAAATGGTTAGAAGATTAGGTGACACCTTTTTTACCCTTCATCGAGGATAACATCAGCCATTAGTTTCGAAAGCATTCTGCCAACGTCGTCATCTTGGCAGTGGTCACCTTGAGCCAGAACGAACATAGCTACACTACTGACCATCCAATCTTTCGAATTTGCTGAACAGTTTTTCACTCGAAATATCGAAGCTTTGTAAGTAAAAGTAGCAAGAAAAAACGAAAATCTGTGGACTTCTGGTGATAACAATTAGAAATCCAATAATGAAGGCAAATAAACTATCACAATTTCAGTATTGGATTACTAACTGATGTTGATTTTTCGAAGCTGAAGCCTGGTACAAATGCATGCATTGTTCTCGACCAATTAATGTGTGTTCTTCCCTAATAGTACACAACGTCCTAGGGACGTCCCTATTTGGTACAATTCAAGTCCGAATGTCCGGGACTAAAAATAAGTGTACTTGGGACGTCCCATCCCGTACATCTCATGCAATGTCCGAGCGAGCACGTCCACTGAATGTCATTTCAAATATCCTAGAAATAGCATCCCTCAAACGTCCCACGTGGTATATATTGTAGAATGTCCTCATGCAAGGACGTCCTTGGCATGTCCCTGATGGGATATGATTTTGAACGTTCCTTCAGGGACATCCATCGGTTGTCCCGAGTAGTAATTATTCTGGCATGACTCCAGATCTTATATTATGTCTCTACTAAACAACCATGGAATGTCCCTGATGGTACATTCCTTCAAATATCTCTGCACAGACGCCCTCAATATTTCCAGGATCGTATAACAATCGAAATGTCCCTTAGGCATATTCGTCAGGAGTCCCAATTGGTACATGAACTCTACTTTTCTTATGTCATAGAAATAACGTCCTACGGACGTCCCAGTCGGTACTTTCAATGTGTTGTCCCTACGAGGACGTTCACTCACACCTCGCCGACAAATGATTGCTTGTAGGCTATAAATACTCCCCGTCAATGTCCTTCACGTAAGTCCATTGGAGATCCTTGAGAACCTTTTTCAGGATCTATTGGGAACCTTCTACGGACCATCAACTCAACTAGATGTCCTCATCAGTTATGCAAGATCTGGTCCTAGAGGGACCCAGAAAAATGCACGTCCCTGGGACATCCTATGGACATTCAATTGTTATCCCTCAGCGTTGCTGATAGGTTGTCCTACGGATGTCTCAAGGATGTCCTCCGTAGTGCTTGATGATGAATACTGTAGAATTTAGGTATTCGATAGTTGTCCCGGGGACATCCCTCAAGTACGTCTCTAGTTGGTCCTCAAGTGGGACATTTGTGCGTCCCACAGACGTCCAATGGACATCCACGGTACCAAATTCGAACGTCCTATATACGTCCTGAATGTCCCGACAGGACGCTCTAAGGCTATCCATGACACATAATTGTGTCATTAGGGTTGTCGATATGGCGGTTTGTGAGTCACACTGGAGAAATATGTATGACGCTTCCGCCTTCTTCTTCATTCATCGGCTATCAGACGATACAGGAATTTTTTTGTTACAAATCGTTCGACACCCGTAATTCACAAATAATTGTACGAAATGTTGTGTTTCGTGCAAAATTATTCATTCAATTCTTTGTAGGAGAGCGCTTCCGACTATAAAGTCATCATCAGTGCGTATACTCGTCCGGTTGACAGGAACATTTTCCATGATCTTTGGTCCTGTTTAGTAATATCAACATCATGGCTCATTACGGTTAAAACATATCAAAATTGGTTTTCCAAACTGAGATAATATGCAGATTCATCCTGACGTATACGACCTAGATGTTTTAATAGCTCTGGCTGTAGTTCGGGCGCTTACAATACACATTTCCGGTGAATTTTTCCATCATCTTCCGGCCTATAAATATCATAATCAGAGACCAGGATAATGAAAAACAAAACAGCAATCACGATGCAACGATTGATTATAGGAACCCTGTACCTTTCTCAATGTATGGTCACTCTACTTGGAAAAATTATGTACTTACCTAACTTGTTGTCCATTCAGGGTGTTTTCACTATTGGACCGATAAATAAAATAACTATGAAGACAAAAACCAATACGGAGTGTAAAACAAATATTCCAGGAATATCGAATAGGTACTTACTAAATATTGCATCAAATACTCAGGTGTGAATCATTGTTGAGATAATAGGAACAACCGAACCACTATAGGAATCCAGAAGCATTAGAAGTTTCCAGCAATGTTTACTTATGTTCATGAGATGTGGTATGGTGAGAGATTTTTTTTTGTATTTTTCAAAAAAGTTTCTCGCGGTTCATTGTCTTATGTAACACTACATTCCATCTATATCACACTTATTTGAAAAACACTCAGTACAGTAATTCAGAACTCACCATATTCTTCTGGGATATGGCCCTGCATCAGCCCCAACGAATGAGCCTTTTTTATGACCTCCCAAGGAAATTTACCAGTTTTGTCATGTTCAGCAGCCACTGGAATTATATTTTCTCTTGTGAACTTTCTTGCTAGCTCTTGGAATTCCAATTGTGTCTCACTAAGTGCTGAAAAAGACAAATCGATAATCTTCATCCCAAGTTTATATATGCCAATTATTATAATTCTGATGATTTTCTTCGTATGATTATAAATCAATCAGAACGTTCAAATGAATTAAGCTCATCTTGTATAATCTCGAATATACGAAATACGTGGATATACATAAAGTAACTCCGTCAATCAGGAATTTATTCTATAGTCACTCATTCATATTGTTACAAAGTTTTTCATTCATTTATTCAATAATTCATTGATTTATTTACTTAGTTTACAGAATAATTCCGATGAAAAACTGAGCAATTCAGGAATATGAGTAATCATGAATAATAATTAACAACTATTGCCTAATACAAAAAAAGAAAGAGCTTATATCTGCTGCATTTTTGTATGATAAATGTTGAAAGCTGTACAATGATCATTAAAATTTTCACAGATTCTTTGTACTAAAGATTATCTACATATTATGTTCGTACATGGAGTTGGTGAGTAAAAGGTTCGATTCACTCGGGACGCCATTCTTGGAACGTGAAATTGAAAAATTTGTGTCAAATAATGAAAATCACATAAGTTATTGATTGTTTTGAAAAGGATTACATTTGAATGGCACTTCCTTCGAGTTTGTAGACTGCTGAATGAATGTCTCTCAAGTACATTTTTATGTGAAATGCCAATTTCTGGATATTCTCCATCTATTTTGAAATGAAATAGTTTCGAATAGCGCCGCTGAATCGATTCAAGGCTTTCAATGTGAGTTTTTTTATGAGGACTCCAAATAACCGAAGCATATCCCAGCTTTGATCGGACAAATGCATAATACAGAGATCCAAGAGTAACAGTATCCTTGATATCTCTGGAGTATCGAACTATACAACCATAATATTTGCTGGTAGCTGACGATATTTGTTCGATGTGAGTTACAAATGGAAGTTTCGGATCAAATATTACTCCCAGATCCTTGAATGTTTCTGCTCTCTGTGAGTCTTCTTGTTTTCTTTCTTTATGTTCTGGTTCCCACGAAAAGGGATATCCTGTAATGTTCTTGTAGTAAATTATGACAACTATATTATTTACTAAGGTTTTCGTTCAACACACTGTATACTATGTGTATATCTGATAAACGAATACAGTCCGGCAACTTTTTATATTAGGTTGTGTATCTTCAACCTTTTTATATTCCCGGGTGTTGTATGGAAAGCGCGAATAAACCAGTTGGAAAATGAGTCGTTGTTTAATTGATATTGGAGCATGAAATGAATAAGTATATAACAGAAAACTTAATATCGTGAGAACCAAGGGAAATAAGGAAGGTATCGGTGTTCTTCTTGAATTTCTGGAGGCTATATGCCTCGGGGAACACCTCCCTTGGCAATGTTTTCCTGAGCCTCGCTGTTCGTTGGATGAACAAGTCTTTGGGAAGAGATGTTCTGCAGGTCTCCAAAGTGACCACGAAGGGGTGCGAAGCCTCAACTCGACGGGTTAATCTCGCGAGGACTGCCAAGGGAGGAACAATTGTTGATATTTCAGAATAGCATCGTCCATGGAAAAATCTATGAAATAGAGCCAGATCGCCAACCTTTTCACGGTGTTCCAGAAAAAGGAGTGATTTTGTGAGCAAGGCATCACCCACGAGACGAATTGCCTTTTTTTGGACAGAATCCAACAGTTTCAGGGTATGTTTGGATGCTGCACTCCAAATATGGATACAGTATTCCAGGACAAGTTGGATCTGTACCTTATAAATCATAAGCAGCTGACTAGGAGTGAAATAGCTCCTGGCCCGAAACAGAAAACCAAGTTTTTGAGATGCACTTTTAGCAATTGATCCCCTGTGATTTTCCCAAGAAAGGTCATTGCTGATAGTTATCCTAAGCATCAATGGTATTGTTGAACATGACATTGTATTTCAAATATACCACTCGTTAATTCAAACAGTAAAAACAAAGCGCGTCATACAATCCCTTGATCAAGACGAAGACCATCTAGGATCACATTGATTCAATCAGCTCCACCTCAGGAGAACTGAAATTTATGTAACTCCGATTAACTTGAAATTTGGCAGGTGTTCATAATTTCGGTGACAATACATTATTATGGAATTTCTGTTGAAATAAAAAAAAATGGCTGCTCCAAAATGGCGGACAAGATTTGATCAAATTTCATTCAAAATTGGTGAGTGGGGGTTTTTGAGGTCGGAGATCATGATTTTTCTGTTGAAATTCATAAATTCAAGATAGCGGCTTTCAAATAATTTTTTGTTTTTGTATTAATGACGATAACTCCGTTGTTACCAACACAAAACTATAACTGCGACATATCATCTGTAAGAGAAGAAAAAGTTATTAATAACTGAGTCATAGTGAGCTATGACCTACATTTGAAAAACTGAAGTTGGTGCTGATATCTCAAATTCTAGAAGAGTTGGTATAAATTTCATATTTATTTCGAAATCACTTTTGAAAAACTGCCATGAGAATAAGAAATTCCTATATTTGAATATTTTCATAAATAAATAAGTTGCAGAGGAGACATGAAAATGATCTGTTTTTTGCGTATAAAACAAAAACGAATAGTTTTCATCAAAATATTTTGTCACATTATAGTTGGCCTTGACAGACTCCATTTGGTGTCATTGAACCGACCTCGTATCTCTCACCGTTAAAAAGATACCCATGGTGAGCATGATAAGTGGGACACACTGTATACTCAGATAACTATCTCTACTAGAGATTTTGTGATATTATCCAGTTTTTTCTTCAATTGAGTATGTCCCTGGCGGCGTTACAAAAATATTGATTCAGAGTTTGAACAGACAAAAATAAACGAATCTATAAGTAGAAATCAATAGTTTGTAGTGGTGAATATGAATTTAATAAGTAGAGTATAAATGTATTTTGTTTGTAGGGGTGAATACGAACAGACGAGTTGTATAGTATTATTCGCTCATTTGTAGTGGTGAATAATAACCGTACAGGTAGTCCCTTATAACTGGTGCTTTCGTATGTCATATTGCCTCAATCATATTATTTTGTAGTGGTTATATTTGATCAATGTACTGACTGGCGCCTATTTAACCACAACGCTTGGTATGGTATAGTGATTATTAGATATTTACAACGGATAATTTTTCTCAGTGTGATGATTCAAGCTACAATTCTTGAAAAAAAAATTGAAATCGAGAGGTGCGTTCAAGAGAAAATTGATTTCAAACACAGTGTAAATTTTGCCCGTTTCCCTAATTGTACCGGTGTGTGTATATCTACCATCAATAACAGAATCCGTGAACTCTCGGCTGATTGACAAGATCAGATGTGGATATCTGAATGAAACCAAAAAAATTCAAAAGGTGATTCCTTGTGATATTCTAGCTAATAAACTTTATCTGAATATGTGTCCTAGCTAGCTCCGTTTTCGAGATTCAGGATGTTGAAGTTGAAAGTATTGATCATTTCCATTTATAAATCTCCTGGTATGAGCTTTCATGGTGCCAAAATTCAGTATGTTTGGAGACTGAGAGCCCCATAATTTCGGAATGACTCCAATTGGAGTTATTGAGTAACCTCAATGGAAGTCTTGAAATCACGCCTACATTAAAATTTGAAGTCGAATCGAATTTTCATCATTTCCCCTTGAAATTAGGCTAGATACAAAAACGACACAAAGAATGAAACGGAATTTACCCACTGTGACGCCACTGGAGATATCATTTCAAAGCTTATTGCACCAGAAGAAGCTCCATAATAATATTAACAAAACCACAACGTTGAATTGAGATTGATGGAAAGAAAAATGAGTAATGAATACAAAAACGATTTCTCATGGAAATTTTAATACACGCTGTATTTTTCGAATGAAGCAAGTAAGGACACATGTTGATGTGAACTTTATTTTCTGAAATATCACAAGGATTCATCACTCGAATATTTTCGGTGATATTCAGATACTCTAACTAAATACAAGAAGTTTAATTATAATAATTACTATTATTATCATATAATTATCATAACCGTAATAATATTTTTATACGTAACCTCAAAATCCTCTGTGTGAGAAAAAAATCAATAATTTCCATGCACTGAATACGTGAATCACTGGACCAGCAATAAACAAGCAATAAATGGAAGTACTGCTTCGCCAATATTGGCGTTAAGTCGGCCAGTGGGCAATTTTTGTGATTTACTATTGAAAAATGCCAATATTGAGCCAATGATAGTCCACTGGGGTGACATTGCTGTAAAAGTGATGGCCCATGTATTAATGTTTGCTGGGATTGTTATCAGAACTCATGGAATAACTGCCTCTTGCACTCAAGTCAAGTCAAGACTATACAAAAGTAGACCAAAATGTTTACACCGTCTTGGTCATCATTCTATTTTAGTCTGGTACGCAACAAATTTTGGTACCAAAGCAAGCTGGTAACTTGATACATTTCATACCAACAGTATTTAGTCAAAATATATAGCCTGGGAGCCAGCAACCGTTTAGAGTTAGTCATTTCACAAAAGCTGAAAATTCTTCCTGAGCTTTATTTGGGATAACTAGTAAGGGAATCAGCCTCCAGCTGGCACACTTCCGGGGGGTGTAGTTGCAGCAGCGTCCCAAACACGTAAAATTATAATAAAAAAAAACTGATATCACAAAAGCTGAAACTTTGTTAACATGTTGATTATCATACAAATAGATCAAAAAACGTATCCAGCCGAACTTATACTGGGGGATTATGCTCCAGCTTTTCACGTAAAGAAGTTAAAAATATGCGCTGAGTAAACTAATACCGCAAAAGCTGAAATTTGGTGAACAAATAGTTAAATTAATAACATAAACGATGAGAACATCCAGCTTTACATTGGGTGGGGGAAAAGTGCCCAGCTGATGCAGTGAAATACGCTGCGCATGGATATCTCGGGCGCATCGTATCTTTGACTGCATCAGCTGGATACTTTGCCCTCACTAAAATGATGAGCTGGAGGTTTTTTTTGTTAACCCATTATTTCAACTATAGGTACAC